TTACATCAGCTACCTGCCAATAAAAGTCCCGTCAAAATCGGTCAAGCCATTTCAGAGATTAGCCGGAACAAACAGACAGACAGACAATAATTGTAAAATTTGTTATTTTGGTGTATGTACTGTATATATATACATATGCATGTAGTAAAAAGCGGTTATTTCAATATTACAAAGAGACACTCCAATCTTATTTATATGTATGAATAGATTATAGATAAAACTTTCTTTTTTGCAACCTTCAATAGGTAAACTAAAAATAAACCTGTTCGGTAGGGAACACTATTACATTGACATAGCGGGGCTTCTGGATGAATCGTTCGTTTTCAAAGCGTTCGTGAAAAAATATACTTAGATAAAAAGGTTTTTGGATATTATTGTACTTAATAAACGTTATTGTGGCTATTCAATTTAATAACAAACTGCCATAAGAAATTCACGACAATAGTGTACGAAGGAATCGCCTCTACTCCTCCTCAGACGAGGTGCAATTCAAAGTTCTTAGTCATTTATATATTCTATGCTTTTATTTCTATTTAAAATTACTTCTTATTAGCGAATAGAATGTTTAACTGTTACATTTCTGTTGGAACTTTTCCTAGTCTTTTAACTTTGTTGAAATGTTCAATATCGCGCTGTAGAGGCATGTTCTGCGAATGACTTTTTCCTTTTATTGTGTTCGGCATCAGGTGGGGATAGCTCTTTTCGGACCATTGCTGCCATTGCGCTCGCTCTATATATGCTTGTTCACATTGAATAATTAAGTGTTCTTCAGCCAGTTCGTAGTCGAGCGTACCTACTGATTGAGTTTCATTTATCTGTGATTGTCTAAATTGATTTCGTTCACTAAACGACTTCCACACGATTGTAGCAGTCATTAAGACACAACATCATTTTTTTTATAAATAAACATACGTATTAACATCCTATAGTGATTTTTTATACTTTTTAATTTGGGTATGTGTACACAAGACTCATAAAAGTCGGTAACCCATTTCAAAGGCTGTCCTGCCTTGGACCTTTGCTAATAACTTTTTTGGCAACAACTCGTCATTTTGCTTTAAAAACGTACAACCGATTCGATTTTATCATCCGTGCTCACTCGAGAAATAGCGCTGTATTAATCTGTACTGTAAATGCGCTGCGCAAAGCAACTTCGGTATTCGGCACCGGTCGGATATTGCGCTCTTCAGCGTCGTCGTCAGCCGCTTAATGCGTTTCCGATGTGACGCAAATGGGATGTTTTCTACCACAACGGCGCAGTAAGCGGCACAGGCGAATAGACAGGTGTTAACTGGAGCAATTTACACCTATTATCTTACCTTTGAATTTCCATTATTATCTCTTTGTTTCGGTAAATTCATTTCCATTTTATGAGTAAAATGTGATTTTCCGAACATTTTATCAATTTTATTATTATTGTCATTATGAAGCAATCAAGTTAGTTTAAAAATGGTTTTTAATTAAATCCTTCAAATCTCGAAATACCAATGACTGGAATAATATCTACAAAAAAACGGCTGCAGAAAAATTAATTGCGAATACATGCTCGCAGATGGTCTGCATAGGCTATAGAGTGTTTCACTCTGTAAATAATAGTTATTCTAAAACTGCCATAAATTCTGGAAACGGCCGGGGTGCTTCGAAGATTTATTCTCCAAATGTTCTAAACGTTACCGGACGCTCATTGGAAAGTTGCCTCACTGTGAAACTACGAACATACGGTTCATTCTGTATTTATTGCACACATTTAGGAATATTTGGATTATTCTGCAAACTCCGTAAAACCTGCGATTTTCCTTGAAGTCTTTATCAAGTCAATATTGCGTGCTCAGTAAGCTGCGATCGTAGGAAAGCCATTTCGCTTTCCCCCTCAAAACTTACCCGGAATCCCCCCAAAATATAGGTTTTTAAAGCAAAATCCCCCATGGCAAATATTTATAAAAAATACAATATTTACCACAAAATATGTATTTCGGTAATAGCATCCATTACTGGATCACTATCTTCGCATTTGTCGTCTTTCCCACTAGTTTCTAAATCTTGTAACATAACTTTGTTTTGATAGTGCCATTAACTTACTAAGGTGCAAACAATTAAAAGGACAAATTACGATTTAGCAGAGCAAAGATGATAGATAGTGTCAAATCGATTTACAGCTTAAACTAAAGACCATTACCGACTGACTGAACTAGCTAGACGGAATACTTCTTTAGCTTGCATGTTGGGTAAACAAACTGTAGGGCTTGCTGAGCTCAAGTAGGTATTCTTATTTGTAGTTTTGTCACTCATAAATTAAATGACAGATTTTATTTTATTAGTACCTGTTGATCTATTTTGATCTATTTCAACTACCAGGAAATACTAATACCACAAAATAGATAGTACAGATGGTAATCTAATCTCATGTATGTACTACAACAGAAAAGCTCCGGTACAACCATCCTTACCATGCCGGGTTGAACCTAGGGTTGCCAGATCGAGAAGTCTTAATATCTGGAGATGTTTTTTAAATGTCCAGAATTTGGGGTTTTTGGCTGGAGAACCATTTCCAAATAATTTTAGTGGTACAGGGCAAACAGTAGGTGTATCATCATGTTATTTTGACGGAAGATTTCGTTATTTGTCGGAAGTCGGGAGATCGGATAAAATGTCGGGAGACTCCAGGCGATTCCCAACCATCTGGCAACCCATTTCCTACCACTTGTAGCCCTGGAACATTGCTCACAAAACCTAACAGATATGTATACCACTAACAGGTAGTATTATTTCACAGGTAGCCGTATTCTGTGGTGGAGATTATTTTTCCAATTTAAGTAGAAAATCCTGATATGCCCTGGCCATTTTCATGTTTTTAACAAAAAGTAATTAATACTTTCTAAAGCACTGGGCTTTTACTCGCTTTGTCAATTTTCTTAAAAATTAGATAATTATTTATTACTGTTAAACGGGCCTATTTGAAATGTTGTTACTGCTGCCCCCGTTCTTTAATACATTGTCAGTCTTCGTTCGTCGTTGATTTTAGTCACGCGTAGGCATCGCTGTCTATCGGTTGGATGCCTTTGTTTTTTTATTGTATTCGGTTCCAATAAATAAAAAATATAAAGCGTTGTACGGAGGTGTCTGTATAGAAGTGAAATATTTTATCTCTTCGTACTTCTCTAGATTTCGTAGCGCAGACGTCGTTCTCACTTGAGTTATTTTAATCATATTCAATCTTTATTCATTAAAATATTCAAATTATTTTTATATTATGTGTCTCTGCTCAAGGAGTCTTCTGCATAATGTGACCAAGAATGCGGAACAAAACACAACTAGGCGCACTACTCCGAATTTCTATGTTTGAGCCCACGCAAGGTTGCACACCTGTTGCGTTTTGTGAATATCGTATTTCCATGTCTATGTCTAGGCTATGTTTACCTAAAAATATCTATATTTGATATAACAGTTATGTTATTTGTTCAGGTTATTGTACTCGAAGGATTCTACAAAAGGATGTAACGGGCCGTTAGCCAAATAATGATCTGTCCGCATTTCCCAATGTAGTGCGTTTATGGTTATGCGTAGCGCTACTGTGAACGCATGGCATTCTTTAGGACCAAGGGTCGGTATTCAGTCCACGCGGCGCGGCCGGTGACTCCTCAGGACACTCAACCCTGCCTCCATTGCCGATGCGATTACACTCGGAATACTAATGCTGTGTCTATTGTGCCTCAAAGCGGTCGCGGCCTAACGAAAGTTTTGTAACGCCTTTGTTTTGCTGACTTTCGCGGTCGCTAACTGGAACGTTCTTTTGACAGATCGGCTCGTATTCTATATTGTTCTCAATAACTTTTTGTATTGAAACTTTTGACGGTTATTGATGTTCGAGATTGTAGGTATTTTTTGTTTTGCATTCTACGGTTTTCTTATAAGTTTTGCTCTCCGTTCCGTGTGTCCCGTTTAAATTGTACGCTAGCATTTGTTTCAATTGACTCTACAAGATAGTCTAATAATGTGTGTATAACATACAGGCACTGTGTATCAATCATTATTGTGGTTTTCACTTGGCTATTGATGCGTGAGTAGATAGCGATAGGAATTAACGAGTGCCATTAATATGTAGCGATGTTGGTTCATTCTGCGAGTTTCGCTGCATTGCGCCGGCCAAGCAGCGGCTGCTGCACGCTTGGCTGACTGGCCTGCCTCCCGCGGCCTTGCTTCAGCCCCGCGGTCCCTTGCGAAAAAATCATAATGCAATCGCCAGGGCGGCCGGCGTGGAACGATCGGCAACCACGCTCAACACGCAATCAGTGTACATTCAAATGTGTTGCTACACACACGCAGTCCGTCATGATGGATTACGCGTGTCGGGCAACAGATTTCTCTTGAGCACACCCTATTGAGTGGAAACTGTCTTGTCCGCTTACGTGGCCACCGGGAACAGTGTTTTTGTGAAAAAGTTGCCATTGGATGTCATTATTCAGTGATGTTAACTTTCCCTTTTCGCCTGTCGTTGTATTTAGGAGTTATTGTCAAAGGCAATTTCATAAATAAAAACAATGCAGTTTATGTAATGTATATTCTTTTACACTCTTCATTTGTAAGTTCTATCTCTAATGTATGTTTTGTACACGTCTGAATATGATAATAAGTAATTTAGTACAGTGGTGCCCCAAATAAACTTAACTTCTGTCCATTAGCGTCTAAACAATTGTCCATCAACGACAATTTATTCTTTGCGCGTTTCGTTTGCGTCCGGCGAGGACGGCTGCTTTCGAAGCGTTCATGATTTCAAGCTGTCTTTCAATCGCGAACAGTGGCTTGCACCGCTCGCTACCGGCTGGTTCGATTAGTGTGCGCGTTATCTTCTAAAGATATAAAATCGTAGCTAATTATTATCTAGCCGTGATAACATGCCTGTGGAATGACGATAATTGTGTCCAACCATTGCTAATGTGATGAAGTGATCGGTGATAGTGTTCCGTGCTGTGCGTGTGTCACGAAAGTGTTGTTTAGAAGACATGTGGGGTGCTGCTGTGTCTAACCCTCCACATTATCAATATATGCAAGGACCGCCGGGTCCGATGCCCCCAAATGGCCCGGGTGGTCCAATTATGTCAGGTCCGCCTAATGTAAGGCACCTGAGGCCGCAGTCTTCGTACTCGTTGCCACACGGCAGCAACGGGCCTGGTCGCTGGGGGTGGCCTGGTAATCACATATCTTCGTTTGATCGGAGGCAGGTGAAGGTACCGCCCCAGCCTGCTCGACCTGCACCAGTTCGTCCATCACATAGTAGAAATACCATAGCTAGTGTAAGTTCCACTTAGGTACTTTATGATTATACTTATTAAATCAAAAAGTTTTTTTAACCACATTATTCGTATTCGTTAGGACTGGCCATGAAATAATCATTGTTTGTATAATTTGTAAAAAAGAAATCCTTCTATTACCACAAGTTGTCCTCAAAAACGGATGTGTATTGTCCATTATTGTGTTTGTTTTTTTTTACCTTATAATCGAGACAAACGAGTAGTGACCGATGACCCTGGTGGTAAGCGGCCGCCATAGCCTTTAGACGATTGCGATACTATCGTACTCGCCTACCTCAACCTCATCCCCAACCTCATCCCCAACCTCGTGACATAGCGACAGAAACACAACTACCCTAAGATACTGTCAGATTTCACCGTGTGGTTTCTACAAGGTGGAGGAGCCCGGTCTCTCTTAAAATTAATATTTTCCTGCTCTTTTCGCTAGTTGTAACTGAATAAAATGAATGCAGGCAATGCGCTAATATAGTTTCACATCCTGGCTCGGTGCGTGAGCCTCGGTTGGCTGGTCTGTAATTTATTTCCTGGTTTCTCGCAATGCGTGTCGGATGACGGCTGCGCATGCGTCACCCGAGACGAGCGTTTCTCCAGTATTAAATATGTAGCCCCTTATATATTAGCATATACAAAATTTTCACCCGAAATTTTATAAAAGCCTAACAATTTAAAAGTTATTCAATAATAAAACGACTCCTAAGCTGGATTGGCAGCGAGCGAAGCACAGATTCGCACAAGTTGTCTGAGCATAAAGTAAAAGTTTAGCAACTGTAGGCATTATGTTATTTTTATCTTGAAATTAAATAGCATTAAAAGTGGTGTTGTTGATTGAAGTGTCGCTATAAGAATGATGATACTTTATTTCTGTCCTTTGAATTTTTGGATCAGAGCTGATGCTCTGACCCAGAAAAACCTTGTGGACGATATATTAATTTGATTTTGCATTTATTTTGATATAATAGATGATGATCAACAAAGGAAATTATTAAACGAACGTTAAAGATTTTTATTAAATTTTTAGTCTTCGGTTTCGAATACATAGTTTATGTTCGCGTTTACTTATTGACGTAACCATTACGAGAGTCCACCGAGTAGTTATATATGTAATAAGGCGAGTGCATAGTATGACCGAATACAGCAAGACGTAGTAAGACCGTTTCCTATATATGGTTAATGTCTAATGAATAGCAAATTAGTCCGTAACGTTACCGAGGCTGTCCTTTTTACGGAGCGAGTATTAATGTGAAGTCTATTTTCAGGGTGTGTGTAATGATGTGTCTCTGTGACCTTCATTAGAGTAAACGGGGTTAGGATGGACGGGGGGAGTCTTAGCTTGTACAAGCGAGATACTAAAGCAGTTAATCCTCAAACTTAGGAGAATACACCACTTATAGCTGTGCTGAATGTTGATTCTCAAAAAGGAATTTAGTATCAGATTATAATATAACCTTTAAATACGAAATATATTCTGAAAGGTAGAAATTGTGAGCGATTTTCGACTGTTTTGAATGTGCCTACCCATTGTCCTAGGGCAGGATGTGATACAATATACTACGACTATCAATTTGCAAGTGGCGTGTCGCAGACTAATTATTATCACAAAACCATGCATGCATGGGCCACATATACATACGTACATTGACGTAAAATTTTCGCTTTGCATTGGCTCGTTTTTCATTCAAGGACTAGATAACTATTATGCCACATAAAAAATATATCATAAAAATGCCTGTAATATTAGTACCTAAATGTATATTTCTGAAATCGATGAATACGCAATGTTTTTTATCATAATACCGTTATCTTAGAACTCTTAAGTAATTTATACTTTGACGTTATTCAATTATTATGCGTCTTAAAATTATGTGTAGTAACAGCTAAAATAACTGTTAGTATATTTATAAAATCGTCCGATATGTTAAGAAATAGATGTGCAAGAAATTTAAGAATTAATCATCTAACGATGGTACTTCTACATTAAATTGTAATAATTAAGTACTTAACCTTTGTCACGCAAGTACAAGTTTGGTGTATCAGCAGCCTAATCCTCCAAAGAGTCCTGGGTTTGAATCCTTCAATAGGAGCTTTTGTTTGTTTGATGGATGATCAAACATTTCTCCCGAGTCACGTTTGTTGTATATAAATAATATATTCTATTTGTGCATTATCATCCGTTATTCACTATCCATATTACAAACTCTGCTTAGTTTGGGTTGGACGGCATTCACAATTGGTATGAATTAACCGGAATTACCTGTTAAATTGTACTAACATTAATAACCTCTAAGGGAAATCTTTGTTGACAGAAATATTGATTTATTTCGATGGTACTGAAAATCATCTTCGTCAACATAGATGGACGGACGTAAATAAATAATACAAACATACCAAAAACGTACTAAGAAATAAAATAGAAATGAAAAAAATATTGAGGTTGCGAACGCTTTGATTAAAAAGTGTACCTACTCCCGAACGGTTCGTTTAATATACCTACAAAGAAATGAAAATAAAAACCTCGTTGGATGCTCTTTACACACTCGTCAAATGATTTAAGTAATTGCTCCTTTATTAAAACCGAAATATCGTCGATTGCTCAACATATAGTGTTGTAATCAAACGCTATATAATTTGCCAATAATGTTTCGCATAAAGTCAGCCTTTGTACCAAAAAGCTGAATTTATAAATAAATCGACAGTGGAAAAGCAAAATAGCTTAACCGCCACTGCGGTGCTGCTTAAAAATGACTAATATTTCAGTTTTTATTTAAAGTTAATTTTCAAGCAGCACCAAAGTGGCGTGTAAGGTATATTGCTTTTCCAATGTCGAAATAAATTTTGCTGCAATGCTATATTCTTTTAATGATGTTTTACTCCAGCATTATCATTACTGAAATCCAGTACGAAAGAAATACTGGCTGATGTTTTATCGTTTTTAATCCAATTGTGTTTATCCATCTTAAAAAAGCTACTAATCTTAAGGAAGATCAAAGAAATAAGAGCAAAAGGCGTGTAATGAAAATATTGAAAGCTTTCCTATTAATTTGAAAGCCGTCTTTAAAATAATCTCCAATATATAAGTACCTATTTTATTCTACCTTTTACCGTGAATGTAGGGGAGGGTTTATTTTGAGCGCTGGCAGGCACAAATATCGGCCACCTCTTGTGGGCTCTGCGTGCAAAATTGGCGCCTAAAAGTCAATAAGCCTTTTTGTTCGCACGGCGTTGATCCTTTTGCTTTATCATGCCCCTTATATTATAATGACGTCGGTTTATTTTCTGCTTTATTATCCTGAGCTCAAGGGCCAAACTGAATAGATCTCTGCTAAGTTAGTTTAAAATTTTAAGCATCTACATAAATATAGCAAAATTCATTTCATTTTGATAACTAATAACCCTTGTTTGTGTGTGTGAAAATAAATAAACATCCGTAATAGTGCATTAAATATGTAACTTATAAGGAGCTTATTATAAGCATACAAGCATACAAGATTTACGCCTCAATATGCAACAGAACTTCCACATCCGTAGTCGAGGCACGTTTTGTTCCAACTATGATGTCCCGAGCGGTTACGGTTGGGATACGCTACGATCTTATTGTTTCATAAAAATAATCCTTGCTTTCTATGAAATCTGTTCCACCTACATAATAAGAAAATCCATTCAACACCATCATAACGAATACAGTGAAATATCTTTAGATTCCTATGTCTAATGTAGGTGGTGTACACTGTTTCAGATTAAAGAGTTCCATTATCTATCTTCATTACTCTTCAGAGGCCTATCTTGATCACATCGTCAAAGTTTCTATGAAAACTAAGTAGCCCCCTATCGGACGCGAGAGCAAACTTGTGTATGGAAAAACCATACAAAATTTGATAATGACGACTATAGGTTACGGAGCTGTCAAAAATTCGTGCTTAGCTCTCGGATCTAAATTTATAATTTACTATTTTTGTACTAGTTAACTAATGCAAATAAACATTGAATCTTCAACAAAAAATCAACTTGTCTCAGACACAGTTGGTACTGTTTCATTGATAGATTTTTAGAAATGACATTGCTGCTTCAGACTAGCTTAAAATGTCATTTGACACTATGAAGTATAAAGTGCCAATTTTGGCATGTATCTTTAACATGAGCATTGGGAGCAACACAAAAAAAATGTTGATAATATTACTAAATCATGGATTAGAAAAGTATTTTTGATCTATTGTCACGTGACCAAAATCGCCTAGGATTAGCGGAGCCCATGAGATCACCTGCTTGTAAACATCTTAACGAACATAACTTTGTACTGTTTGACGTTTTAATGAGAGCCGTGTGACGTCATCTGCTGTTTACAGGCTTATATGCCATATTTGCTAGAGAAACATTTCCGCGGCATATTTAAAACAAAATTTTTATTTGATCTATTTTATTGATACACGCATGGAGTATCTAGTGATACTAATACATATCTCTTTATTATATACTAGCAAACCAGTGAACCAAATGTTCACCAATTAAAAAAAATGTATTTAATTAATTGAGAACTTCGGAGATTTTGTGTGGTTTCGTTTGAAATTCGTGATTTCTCGAAAACCGGAAGTGCTACGTTACTCAAATCCGGTTTGTAGTCTTATCAGACTATTCTTAATTTATAACTTAAACATTCTTTATCTATTTCTTTATCTATCTCTTACGGTTTGGCCGCTGAAACAGCACCACAGACAGACAGACGGACGGACGGACTTGTCTAATAGATAAGAGATTATTTGGAAGCCAATTTTGCAATCGCTATAAATCAATTGTAAACCTTTTCTAGTGCGGATTGTATTATTAGAGCTAGGATGTTCCTATACGCTGTTTGGCAAAAGAGGCGTTTGGAGCGTATTTTCTGAATGTAACATTGGAAGTACTAAATATGTTTTAAGAAAACATCACGTATGTAATGTCCACACCGTCGTCCGTGCGAAACCTTCACTCGAGAGTGTGACTGCGCTATTTAGGAATATTATTTTATACTGCGCCATTAGTGGATATTTATTATTTCAAGTATGTACTCAATTGGTTTTGTTACACGTAGGTTCTATTCGTTTTACGCTTAATATTTTTATAGGGAAACCATATTCATGATTATAAATTTATCGTCTTATCATATCCGATGGGCTTAAAAATATATTTGTTGAGTGTACTTTATAATGTGTCATCCATCATATAATTTGGACAACAACCCTGGTCATTGAAAGATTACGCTAATAGCTTTGGCTTTGATATTAATAAATTTAATTACAAGTATAAACGATAGCGTTTCTAATCAAGAATATTACTAATGGTAATGACATATATATATTTAAACATTAAAAAGCTTTTAATTCGTAAAATAATCTGATTAAAATTTCTTGTAAAACTGTCGTAGTTTTTTTTACTAATCCGACTTTATTGAATTCCATTGTAAAGGTTAGGATTACGATTTGGCGATAAAATATTTATGATAAGCTTTTGATAGTGTTTCGATATTTTTAAGTATGTTATTATCAATTGCCTAACGCAACGGTTGCATTGTAATCTTCAATCTGAAATTCTGAACAAATGATAAAATGATAAAATATGTGCTAAGAACTTTAGCTGATTTCGTTATTGGTTGTTTTAAGTGTTTAGTATTCGTATTCTACATAGCCTATTAATTATGAAAAAAAATCAATGATGTCATCAATAAAAATAACATTAATTCTATAAAACGTTAAAAAGTTCATTATTAAAAAATATGAAAATAGAATTGCGCATCCGTGTGTATGAATATTTAATGTCACGCTATGAATAATCAAATCAAGACTGTGTAAGCTGTTTATATACTAACTGTTTTACATTTGATATTTTTTTAAATTAACGATGCATCAGTCCTGAAAACAAAGAATGCACCAGCTTTAACTCACCGAATTTATAGTAAAACCTTGTAACTCTATAGAGTATGGCATAGCAATTTGAGTGATATTTGTGTTTCAAACACCTTTTGATTATCCAGTAACTATGTAATTGTAATAAACATTTATTTTTTCTTCTGTAAATCTTTTGTAAGTGGAAGTTATTTTCCTATACAGGCGCTCTTATTCAAAACGGAAAATCCGCTATCTACCTCTCTTAATAATGTTAATTAAAAAGTACTTTTTATATTTTCAGAAGGTCGACCCCGAGCTGATCTTCACAAAACAGGAGAAGATCGGCAAGGGCTCCTTCGGCGAAGTATTCAAAGGGGTTGACAACAGAACCCAGCAAGTGGTCGCCATAAAGATAATTGATCTTGAAGAGGCCGAAGATGAAATCGAGGATATTCAACAAGAAATCATGGTGTTGTCACAGTGTGACAGCCCATACGTCACTAAATATTACGGGTCATATTTGAAGGTAAGTGTATTTTGAATGTGAAATAGCATTTTTAAACACTGCAGATACCATCATAATGTTATTGTATTGATGTTTCACCTCGTCACAGACAGACGGCTATCTATTCCTGTTGAATGAAACATACACTGGACATTTAATCAAAATTGTTTCGCGGAGCCACAATACAAATTGCTCTTGTCAAATTTAATGTCTGCGATGGCCGCTCATGTTGCATGCAGTTCCCATTTATTACTCTTATAATATCGATAGGCCGTGTATGAGCATTAAGTGATGAACGCGAATTTTTTGTTACTTGTGGTGCAAAATTTGTGGAAACTCCGTAGATTTTAATAACAGGAAAGAAAGCTCCATATTTCGTAAAATCACTATGTGGTGATAAATTTACACGCATTTGCGATCGATCTTGATTTGTGGTTTACGTCTTCGACTTAGTTTACGTTGCATGGGTCTGTTTCGCCTATAACTAGCGTCCATCTCTTGCGTTGAAAGTGTAACCATGTGCAATACACGGCGGCGCTTTATCGCGCCTGTCCTACACGGTCGGACGGCATCAATCATTGTCTGCGAGTCGAGCTTTTGCCTGTTTATCTCCAGAGGCTTTGTGAGGGATAAGGATCTCTCGTAATGGTCTCCATTACGAACTGTATATCCTCACTGAGTGGTATTGCTCTGTAAAGAGCTTTTGAAAAGTTTAGATAATTTTTACTGTGCAAGTGATTTCTACGTGGCTAAGTAATCAGAAAATATGTTTTTTTTATATGATTATATACAGTAGCTGATTGCAAAAGTTTCTCGCGATTTATTTACTCAACATTAACGTCGATATGCACCAAGTATTAATCGTTGTTAACCGCCAGACCGCCTTCCCTTTATAGAAATCAGAAAGCGTGTTAATTTCTTTGTAATTTTGTACTTTATTGTTGTCAGTCTTGTTGAATCGTTGTTTGACACTACTGCAATTTAATACCCACGAGCAGTGGTATTATTTTCAGTCCTAGGTAATAGGACATTGATATATTCGTGACTGTGTGAAATAAGATTTAGCTAATAATAGACATGCAATTCGCCGGCTAAATAGCAGTCGAAATCAAATTTGCTATTTGGTTTATTATATTGCTTGCATTGCGTAACGCTAACGTACCGCTTGAATGTCACGAAAATTGTAACATGTAGTTTTAGTTAGTATAGAACGTTCACCCGATCGTGTATTACGTTTGCGTGCTTTACGGCGTTATTGAAACGATGCCCGTCACGAAGTGTTTGGGGTCACCATACGAATGAACAAGTAACCAGTCGTATAATATAGCGAATGTTTTTGTTCCAAAATACATGTATAAGGTGCATTTACTGCATCAGTATTCCAATTCGAATATTATTACCGCTACTTACACAAGCTAATCACACAATCGACACGTTAAATGCTGCCAAAAAAAATACCTGCTGTGATATTGCCGAGTATGTTTAAAACCAAAATAGAATGACGCCACACGTGGGTCATTAATCTTTTGTGTGTACTCTCGTAGCCAATGAAATGAATGACGTGTGGGAAAAGAATAAGGAGTTGAAAACAACAGCTTGTTGATTCTTAATATAGGAATGATTTACGGAATTCTATATTATATTGGCAATTAGCCGTACTTTATTCTTAAAGTTATGATAATAATAAACATATATTACTCACATACAAATGGACATAATGTACCACGGGTATAATTTATAATAATACTAGAAAAACATAAAAATTAGTCAAAAGGCATTTTTTTTTAAATAACGAATTTCGTAGAGAGAGACGTCTTTGAGGGTCCAATGGGCACCATGTTCTTGATAGGAGGTCGAATCGGTACTTTTTTGTAGGTAAGGTCCAAATAGGAGGGTCCAACGGGTACTAGACCAGACTAAACCTGATTGACAGATTAGATGTTTATTCTTTAAATATATAAATTACATATTACCTTAAAATATAAATCAGACATACAGACGCTGCAAACACAAAGAGAAACTTTACAACTGCCACTTGTAATATTACAAAAAAGTATGAACTGTTTTAAATGTCAAATAAAGGAACACATGATAACCGTGAATGAATTATTATTACTTGTACGTTGTTTGGATAATTATGTTAATGATAGATTTAACTCTTTGACAAAAAATCCGGGCGGCTCAAACAATGATTACTTGTGACTTTTCCAGTTTACTTACACTTATGGCTCAATTACATATGGTTGTCAGCCCGTATTTGGGTGCACGAAACAAATTACTCGAATTCGGGCACTCGAAGCAATATTTACACAGGGATACGGGCTACAAAACCTAACCTACCCAAAACGAAAACTACCCGAATACGGGCACTCGACTCCGTTCAATTACACTTAATCGTTTACCTGAATTCCATTGGTACTCGCATTCGGGCTAACGACCAAGTGTAATCGCGCCATTAGATATATCTATTGATTGGTTAATTCAAGAGTAATCAACTCACTCTTTTAATAAAAAAATAGTTTTTGAAAATAAAATTGTAAATTTAGTGAAGAAATTGAAAAAAAAAACATGGGCATACTTTTGTCTGGTATGGGATGGGAAATTCAGCAATCGATGCGTTATTTTCAAATAATCCAACGTTGTCCCCGTTTAGGTAAAGCACACTCAAAATTGAATGGAACCGATGTGTATATGTAAAACCACATATCATGCTTAATCATGATCCCCCTTCTTCCAGCCAGGATAGAATGGATGGCGTCCCGCCAGGACACAATAAAGTCTGTGCGCTGAGAATCGATATTTGCATTTTTATTGCTGCGTATCATATTCACAAGATATTCTGCTGTGTTTGCCAGTTTTAAGTTTATTGCAATATTAGTTATCATCAGCCACGATTTCACGAGTCGGTAGTCATTTGGGACCGGGACCACTGGTCCTGATGGGGACATGGAATTAATAAATTATTTTGAGGCGGCATTCGGGACCAAAGGTAGTGGTCCCGATTGACACCTATGTTTAATGATTATTTCAAGTGGTAAGTTGAGACCAAAATATGATCTAAGTTCCTATCTTTTTTTTTATGTCGACTTTATGAAATTCATTTATACCAATAAATGAATGAGATATGAATTATTAAATATAACAAATTGTTTTCTATTTGTCTGTTTTTAAAATATCGTTGGTTTAAATAATGATTTCTATTTGTTTTTTACCTGTTTTTTATTATTATTTGTATATCCACGAATAATAAGCAATGTTTTTGGGCTTAATGCAAAAGTACATTTTATGAGGAAAACCTACTTATCGTAATGGTTTATTGATGTGTAGCATTTCCCGTTGATACTCTGCATCAGTTGCACATTACAATTGCAATCTTGACACACTTTCGAACGTTGTTGTTATGCGCGTCTTGCAAAATACGATGCAATGTAAGCTAGTACGTGAATCTGCTCATCGCCTACATCTTTTTGCCTCAACAACGGATGTGGCCTTATTCTGTTTTAACTTATTATGATACTATTTAATATAGCTTAGCTGTTGTAAGTTGCTGGTTATGTAACTAGACCTAATTAAACAAATTCCTTTGGCTTATAATTCAACTTTACGTATTTTTAAGTCTTCATGTTTGATATGGCCTGTTTTTAGTAAGTAGAAGAAATGGAAAAAAAAATACATTTTATGTTTATTTTCTTTTTGCAAAACAAGCTTGCTTAAAACTGGTTTAGCTCTCTTCCAAGTAAAAAAGTTTCAATCCTTATCACCTCGGATTACAGAGCATTAAAAACGGCAGCATAATAATATTCATACTTGCCTAATATAAACTCCTTGTACTCCTTGTAAAATATCGAGTCCTTACCGCCAAATTATCGTAAGCGACACTCGCCAAATTATCGTAAGCATAACAATGTATTATTATCATCGCATATATCGAGCCCTTACCGCCAAATTATCGTAAGCGACACTTTTGTCGAAATGCGTTTTTTGTGGAAACTAATATTTTGAACCGTAACGGACCCATCTCTGTTGATATTTCCCTCCATTCTTCCCTCTATTATATTATTACGGTGTTCTTTTGGAGAGAAATATCAACAGAGAAGGGTCCGTTACGGTTTAAAATATTAGTTTCCACAAAAAACGCATTTCGACAAAAGTGTCGCTTACGATAATTTGGCGGTAAGGGCTCGATATATGCGATGATAATAATACATTGTTATGCTCACTCGTTTTAATTTGTTTCTGCTTTCGAAAGCACTGCCCTTTATTACATCATTTGTTTTAAGACCTAACTCATCTGGTTGGTAGCTCAACTAGTGGCCCTTTTGAGGAGCAAAATTGTATTTTTTTTAAAGTCACATTTGTGCTTTATCAGGGTTTTCCTAATGAAATGTTTTTTTTAAGTTTATTTAATTACTTAAATGACACCAATATTGGTGGGGGTACATGCGCGTGTTAAGGGTTAATTACGCTTGAAAGTCATTTTCGCGGAGGTGCGATTTTTTTGACGCCGAGTGTAGTAAACATAGGCCTCTTTGCGGCAAATCATTGTCAACATCTACTGTGTTCGCAATCTGTTCCGCAGAGAAAGTGTGGTAATGTTGGGGCTGTGTTGTAATCCAAATAATATCTGTTGTCTTTTTGTTTGTAGCTAGTCAATTTTTGCGCTGTATAGTATACTTACATTCAATTGCATGTTTCTAATAGTTGAGTTGTTGCTTTTTAAGTGATTCTTTTCGCAAAGATGCTAAAGAATAGCTTATAAAGACCTTCGTCTGCCCGGCGCATTTACGTCATTGCTATGAATGAGTTAGTGACGTGAATAAAGCTCTGCCTGCCTGTGAACTGTGAAGAGGCTTTTGGTAAAATTATGAATGCGGATGTCGACATGGCCGTGTGGGGGGTGAAGGTCGATGGTGACTCACCGACCTTTATAGCTCGGGCAGTATATTTCTATTACCTACATTTCTACTAAAATACCCAGAAGGTTGAAAGAAGACCTCGTTATTTTGTTTATTTTGCTCCAATGCATTCCATAAGACATTTGTATATATATATTTGGTAATGTTTCTATAAATACGTATGGTATGTGGTATGAATCATGTATTTGACATTAACTTGGCTTTGTACTTTGTTTCGTATCCGACAAAGCAAATAGAAACTATATACATTTCTAATATCATAATTTGATTTGAATGATGTCACAACATAACAATATATAATTTTCCAGTTACATATTTAAATAACAGTAAAGTATTGATCTGTTAGAGGATAGGATTTGTTCATCAATGAAGCTAATTCATTCATAAATTTATGGTCATGGTATTATCGTCCGTACCTCATAAATTGGATATCTCAATAAAATCGCGGCCAGAATCTCATTTTACGGGTATTTTATTCCGGTTTTATTTTAGGGGTTTAAGAAGAGAGTCGTTAGGAGGAACGCGATGCCTATAAAGTGCGCGTGCTGAAAACGGATTAATGCCACCTTGACCTCTGCTTTAACACTGACTCGAGTCAAGGGCCAGAAACACGGACTCTCACATGTTCCTTATTCTCTTTTATTCATTTCATTTTACTATTAAACATCGACTGTATTAATTTATATATTATGAATGAAATACAGCTTCTTAAAGGTTTACAGCTCATCCTAAAGGTTAATTAACGATAAAAGAAGTTTAGGTTCGATCATGATACGAGCATGGTAATCTGTATGACATGGCTGCTATTTGGGATTGTCCTTCAGCTTCACTGCAATGCGGGTCGGGCGAGGGTCGTGAGAAGTAGGTGGTGCGGGGAGGGTAAGCGGAGGGGAACAGCCCGTCGTGAACTTGGAAGGTCAAGTTCTGGAAGTTTGCAATTTAGCTTATTGGTAGTCTACCCCCAACGTTTCGATTTGAACTCAATTATGAAGTTGGGAGTTGGGTTTTTTTGTTATTGATTTTTGTTACCGAATTGTTTTGATGAATAAACTTTCTTTGGTTTTCTTAGTTATTTATAACTGAACATTACAGCTATGAGATAAGTTGCTAAAAAATTAAGTTATTGTTTTATCAGACACAATACATTGTTTAAGGCTATTTTCTACTGATTAAATCTTCCAGATTGGCGGTTCCAGGAGGCAACGTTCTTTCCAATAACTCAAAATGAACATGACATTGCTTAAGATCCAAAATTAATATACTTTAGCAAAGCCAATATAAATACCTAAATATTTGTACATTCAACTATTTATTGATAACATCTACGTCGCTGTCTGTGGTTACATCTTGGTAATAATGTGATAAGTAATAGTAATTACCAACGTTATTAATTTTCAAAAGTGTGGCGTAGGGATCAAATTATTTAATTATTTTACTACAGTATTTGTATATAGGGCTCAGCATTACGCACGACATTTTTTGAGCAAATTAATGGTAATCACTGCTGTTATCGTCAGATTTTCCTCAAATTGACGATGTCATATTTTAGCTGCCTTTTACCAAATTACATTTTGATTCCTCTCTCCTCTCTGATGCGAGTGGTTTCCACTGACTAATGGCTTTTACAATTTCGTACGATGTAATATAAACAAGATTATGCGTCTCGAGCGAGACGCTCATTGCTTTATACGTTTCATCACAATTTTATTGTTGGTGGGAGAGTAATGAGTCAGCTGTTTTTTGTGGACTGTAATTTGGGAATGTAAAAGTCAATAAACATCAAAAAAAGATTTTCAATTTCACTGCTCTAATAGCTTTTGCGTCGTAACGTTTATTATCTTTATTCATTACTTGTAAAATCTACGAAAAATTAGGTTTCTTATTGCAAGTATAAAGGTAGACATTTTCATGAATTTCTTACTATTCTAACGTAGGTATAGGTTGTCCTAATAATAAAGGGGACCTTACGCGGTCAGGCAAACAAGCCATTAGGGCGTAGATTTGGGCCATTATCCTGATTGTTGCTCTTCGTCCCATTACCTAGTGCTCAGTGTAATCTTTCATAAGCTGACCCTAGGCTATGATACTTGATAACGAATACTAAATTGCCCCCTAGTTGTTCAGCATATTATCCCATATTTTAGTTTGTAAGAAACTAAAGAAAACGATAGTTAATCGTTGAATACATACAATAGTGCCTACAGTCCATTTATTTGTCAAAAAGGATGGTATATTATGAATTGATCTTTAGGTACATATTTTAATTACTGATTGAGTTATAAAAAAAAAACTATTAATAAGCTAGAAATTGAAAAGGAGTAAATAAGCCTAGGGAATTAAAAAAATATCTGGAATTACTTCATCCATCACCAAAAACAATTTTATTCGAGAACACAGCGAAAATAGCAAGGAGAAATGTAATTATGTTTACTCGTGCATTTATTTTAGTTGAGTTGAAAAGTATACTAAAGTGGTCATATTATAGAAGACAGACAGACACATAATATAGGGTGTTTGGAAGATGAGTGCAAAGCTTTAAAGGAAAGCTAGCAGAGACCATTTAAAACCATTTGGGCTATATTTTGTCTCAGACGAAATCTGACCATTAAAAATAATTGTTTTTTTTTATGAAATGAACACAAAAGTATACAGTTAGTTGCAAATAATGGCCAACTAAAATTAATGTTTTTTTTTTTATTTTATTTGAATAAACTAGTGGGAAAGCAATTTTAGAAAAAAAAATTTAAATCATCTGTATCACCAGATATATTTTTTACCGATTTTTAAAGGAGTAAATTTAAAAAATGGATATAATGATGTTTTTCTAAGACTTTAAAAAAACATAAAGCCTTTTTATTTGGTAATTTCAAAAAAATGGCTTAGTTATTGTACTTTCTTATGAGGTATAATTTATGCAAATAGCTTACAAATTATTGAAACTAAGACCTGAAATCCTAATTGAGGAAGAAATTTTTTATGTTTTATATATTCATCTAGAATTAACTAAAACAAAATTTTAACAGAAATCATTTATTTTTCGTGTTCAAAATTTTCGCCGCGATTTCTATATACGCACGAGCCCGTTGTCCCTCTTCCGTTGTCGTTATTCAACATCATCTCCTGTTTCATCGTTTGAAAAGCTGCATTGATCCTTTCTATTATTTGTTCTTTTATGTTTATCCCCAGATGAGTATAAACTAGTTCCTTGGCCTGACCCCACACGAAAAAGTCCATTGGAGTAAGGTCGGGTGGCCGAGCAGGCCAAGAGATTGGGCCATCTCTGCCGATACAGCTATCAGGGAAGCAATTATTTAAATGCTCTGTTATATTTAAAGTTCAATGGGCTGGGCACCCGTCCTGCTGAAAGATGACCCCTTGATCAGTTTCGAATATTGGAGCACCGGAATCTTCAACAAGAACTGGCAAATGGTTTTGGAGAAATTCTAAGTAATTGTCGCCGTTCAAATTGTCTGGCAGAAAGTGGAGCCCAATCAATCCAGCCCACACTTTAAGGAAAAAAAATCTTAGAAATGTCAATTGCTTTTTCCAATGTGGATTATTTTCTTTATCGGCCCTTTGATGCATTCAGCAAACCGGCGAAATGTGTTGTTAAACACTCCGACGTTCGGCACCCTACAATTAGGAAAGCGTTTTTGATACATCCGTCGTGACAGATAACCATTTCCATCCGCTCTTCCATACATAAAAACGATGTCAGCATATTCTTCGTTTGAAAAAGGCGCCATAGTCTGTTCACAATAAGAAAACAGCACTTAATGTACAACTTAACTTAAAAATAAGAACGTCCAAACTTAACACGTGAAGGAGCGCAAAGCTAGACAGCTAAAGCTACAATCACCCACGGTTAAACGATACCGACACATGCAGGAGCGCCAAGCACTACTACAACTGAACACGGTGAATTGACACGAAAAACAAGTTAGCGTCTAATCAAAAGCAAAGTTGTAACTTGACTAAGCAAATGTGACCTGTCAACACATGTGACGTTTATTTAAAAACAGTTAGTGATTGATCATTTCTAAAGAACTTCATTATTCTTTTATCTAAACCGACTTTCCAAAACATCAACCCTTCTACCTTTTTTTTAATTCATTAAGCGCGCTACCTGTAAAATATAATGTGTATTGGCATATCGCGTCAATTGTATCGAGCTTTACATGAAGGGTCATCATTTTTCTTAGAATTGAACTCTATTACCATTTGTAACACAAAAGTTTGTCTTAAACTAAAAATTTGTTTTATTGTTCTGCTTAAAAAATCCTTTTTTTTTATTCTCAAGTTGGTGTGTAGGTCCCAGTTTCAATGATTTGTAAGCTATCCACATAAATTATACTTAAAAAGAAAGTACAATAAGTAAACATGTTTTTAAAAAGCTTTGAACAAAAGAAACACCCTCCGTGTTTTTTAAAAGCCTTATTGAAACAACATTTTTATTGAAACTTGAAAAAAGTTGTTTGGCGATACAGATGCTTTAAAAAAAATCTTAGATTCCTTTCACACTTGTTTAAGCAAATTAAATAAAAACTAATTAATTTATTATTTAAGCTAGCCATTATTTGCAACTCACTGTGTACTTTTGGGTTTTTTCATCAAAATCGATGAAAAAACAAGTAGAAAAAAATGGTCAGACTTCGTCTAAGACAAGTATGCCTCAAATGTTTCTAAATGGTCTATGCTAGCGTTCCATTAAAGCTTTGCACTCATCTTCCAATCACCCTGTATATTTATTTAAAATAACGCTAAAGCATAATGAATAAAGTATTGGCTTAGTTTTAAGAATTTCGCAGTGTTTATTCCTTAAAATTAAACTGTAGTGTTTTACCTTTTCTGGACAAAGAAAACTATGATAAATATTAAAAATTACATACGTTAACGCTTTGGGATATGGAAGCTATATTTCTTTTGATATATATTGAAGGCTCAGTCCTTTGCCGTCCCATATTTTATTTAGTGATAGAATAAAGATTCGAGTAATGAGCAGAAGCCTATATTATCCTGAATCACCAAGTTGCTTATTCAAGCCTTGTTCAAGATTTTACACGATTACTGACTGACTTTTGTAGTATCTTAAAAGTGAGATTGTCGCAACATTTATTGACTATGTCGTACTAGCTGTATTTCCAACGTTCATGGGCGTCGGCGGTTAAGCTATAAATGATGTTTTTGCCGCTCCATTTCCCCTATGTGTAGATGTGGCAATATCCTACGCAATTACACTGTAAACTGTTGATAGTAATGTAGTGTTAACGTGCTAGGGCCAGGCTTACACAAACGTGACGACATCTGCGTCAATAAACGAGATTACACCTACAATGTGGCGAAATGCACACTGCTAAGTATATAACACAGTTTCTAATATATTATCGTCTAGATATAATATATATATCTTGTAGGAAACGTGCATTTGGGAACTGGGTGAAATAGCGTACCGGTAGCGATTCTGCGTAATGGTACCCGGAAACTGGCTGGAGCGCCAAAAGGGTCTTAGTTCGATTATTCCGGTAGTGATAATCTCTGGAATAGCATATAAAGCATTATTTTGATATCATCAGTCAGGTTGCTTTCACTACAATCAGTTCTGGAGCCTTTTTCTTCTTTGCGATTCATTTCATTTTATTATAGGGAAAAAGTACAGTTATGTCACATTGAAACTTTCTTTAGCTTAAAAAGAAATCGCGGAGAGTTTAAGCACAGGTTCAAGCTAGACAGTTAGGCCCCTTTTGTAAATTTTCTGTCAATTTGGGTATGTGCATGATCCTTTTATTTACTCACTTAATCCCATTTCCTACTATTTTCACTGCAATGGTTTTCGTTATAGTTATTATAGCTTAGTTCGGTTAAATA